CCCCAATCAGCCCAGGCATCAACGCGAGCCTCGTGCAAGGAATACGAGATTTCCAACAAGTGGCGCAAATCAGCCAAACTGCGATGCTCAGCTTCGATTGCTGTGTCACTAAATGTGAACAGTCAGAAGGCAGGGAGGTAAGCCATCTCCTGGACACTCCAACACACTGCTCAGAATGAACGCAGCCCCTTTTGGCTAATACTCGTTGAGCTAAGCCGTGCCAGAGACGTCTTCCTGCTGAGGTTCGTTTAGGAGGGGTTAGCACAACGAATCTCACCCACGCAAAAAATTGCCCACAAAATATACAGTCAATTCACTTCAGGGTGTATTCTGTGAAACGTTTTGGGACGTCTCGAAGACGTGATAAGGCGCTGTATCAAATCAAGGATTACTATTATAAATGAGAGGATTATACTAATAATAATAATCCTTGCACTTGATGTAGCGCTTTTCACGTCGGGAGGACGTCCCGAAGCGCTTCACAGAACACACTGTAAAGTGAATTGACTGTATATATTTGTGGGCGGACGCGGCAGCCAATTGCGCACAGCAATGTCCCACAAACAGTCGTGGATTGAAAATGACCAATTTTATTATTGTTTTTGGTTTTGGAGGGATTATTATTATTATTAGGATTATGGTAAAGATTGAGCTCCTGGCTATGGCTATACTTTTGGCCCGCTGTTAGCTGGGATCAGGATTGCAGTCCTTCTGATCTGCGCTCAAACAGAGGAAGTGGAGACACTGGAGTACAGAGCTTACTCGAGCACTTGGTCAGGGCAGCCAATTGCACACAGCAGTGTCCCACAAACAGTCGTGGAGTGAGTGACCAGATTTTTTTTTAAAGAGATTATTACCTCCAGAAAAGCGATCCGCCAATCAACTAATCAGCTTCTGCCGGTTCATCTCGACCTTCAGAGAATCTCCTCATTTCCTTGTCACAATAAACTGTGACAAGATTCTCTCGTCTCGAGGTGGATTCCAGTAGCTCAGTGGTTAGAGCGCTCTCCTCACAAGCGAGAGACCTGGTTGGGCAAGTTTCCTTACTCCACACAACAACAACAACAAAATTCCATTTATTGGAACGCCTTTCACGTCGGGAGGACGTCCCAAGGCGCTGTACAGTTGGGTCAGGACCCGAGCATTGGGGGGAAATGGTCAGGGAGGGAAGGGAGGGAGGGAGCGAGGAGGGGGTAGAGAGTCCCACACGCCTCTATTTACCTTGCAGTAAGTAGGAACCCGGTTGTTAGTCGATTGGCGGATCGCTTTTCTGGGGGCTAAGAATTCCTTCAAAAAATAATAGTAAATTTGTCACTGAATCCACGACTGTTTGTGGGACACTGCTGTGCGCAATTGGCTGCCGCGTTTGTTCTCAAAACATAACAGTCAATTCACTTCACAGTATAAAGAGAATTAATGTGGCAACTTAACACATGAATGGGGCCAGCTCTACCAGGGTGTAATGGATTTCCCCTTTCATTACTCTTTAATTAAATCGACTTTAGTTTCAGAATGAGCTAGTTTTGCTAAGTGGCTGGAGATCTGGACTTTGAATGCATCATTTCACATTCAGTTGCTGTATCTGCATTGTACATTGCCAGATTGAAACCAAGAACAAAAAAATCAAGACGTTTCAAAACAGAATTGGGTCATTCTCGTTTCTGCCCACGTTCTTGAGACAACTGTTGCCCGGGTATGTTTCTTTGGCACTGCCCGCCAGTACTTGGGTTTGCCATTACAACTGCAATCCTCCAATGTGACTTGCTGTTTTGATCGCGTGTAGGTATGTGTGGCATTGTGAAGCACTGTGTATCAAGTCACAGACCGCAATGTGAATCGACTGTGTGACTGGGATACAAGGAAGCAGGATAAGTGAGTTTCTCTTGTGCTATTATATACTATAACATGCAAATGAAAAGGCTGGGGGGGGGGGATAAAATGCCCCCAGGTACGTCAGTGATCACATTAGTGGGTCGACCTTAAGTTGTAGAGCTTAAGAGATATGCTCAAAAACAAAGGGAGTCTATATTTGAAGAGCGACATGGAAGAGAGGTAGGGAAATTAAAGCAGCTCATGTGCGGACATTTACAAAGATCTGTGTTGAGATCTGAACACTTGTAAATCCTCACCTGGAATCGAATAACCCTCTTGTGAAATAAAATTCGAACCTCCCCATTCGCTAATTAAACTGCTGCCCTCGAATCACACGCAAGATGAGATCAAATGGGCTAAAAAGCCTCCGTCACCTGATGCGTTTGCAAATTCCTTCTGTAAATATTTGAATAGCTTTGTAATGGCATCTCGTCACACGAGACAAACAGATTTCTATGGGAACTCCACTTAAAAAGCCTAGAGAATAAACACGCCTCATGATTGCAATCTTAATTCAACATATTCTTTTGGCAAAGCTTGCAATTTAATCCGGAGTTTAAATGTATTGCTAAAGATTAAAAATGGGACATAGCCAACAGTGAATAATTCCAGCTAGGAGTTTCAACAGTATGTACTTTACTGTGGTATGCGTTGGTTTGGAGCAGAAGGATTTTTTGGAGGGGGTGTTAAATTCCACTTGGGTTCTAAATTTGTTCTTAGTTTGCAGTATTTTGGAGTGTCCCGGAATCCGGTATTAGTTTTCCTTTTTGAAGTCATTTTTTTTTCTCTATTATTTTAAGAACTACAAGGTTAGACTACGCAGCTTCAAAGTAAAGACTAAATTCAACAATTTAGCAAATTCGGTAACACCATAAAGAAAATGAGAATAAATCTAGATCCCAGTGGCACTTCTCGCCCGTTGTGCTTTAGTAATTCGCTGGTGTGTATATGTCCACAGATGGATTTTGAAAGGTCATGATATTTAGCAGCCCCAAACTCACTACTGAAAGTATTCACAGCCCACACAGTACTGGGCACACTGTATACATGTAATAATAATCCTTGCATTTGAAATAGTGCTTTTCAAGTCTTCAAGACCTCTCAAATCGCTTCACAGAATAGACTGTAAAGTGAATTGACTGTATATTTGTTGGTGAAACAAGTGCAAAACGGGTCATGTAATTTAGACCCAAGTGGAAGTTAATCCCCCCCCAAACATTCAGATCCATTGTTGTAAAACTATAAAGCAGTGTTCCAACAAGTCTCCAGAATCCAGTGCACTGTTGATAAATATAGTACATCAATATATGGATTCCAGTGGGGAATGTTGAAACCAGGGTTAGAAATGTTAAAATGGATGGTTACCTAATCCCTGCTTTATAATAAGCCTTCGTATTCTGTTGGAAGGATTCTAGTGGGCTATTAACTGGCTTTGACTTGAATATAACAGTACCTTGCCTTACGGTTTCATTTAAATGTACAGCATTTCTTCTCTTACTTCCAAGACATTAAAACAGTAGATGGTTTGTGAACTAATTGTGCCATCTTGTCCCGATGTTCTTTCCCTCATGAATATAAAATTAATATTTATAGTTGATACGAATCATAATATCAGATCACCATGCTAAGTGACGGATAACAGCAGTCTGCTTCCAATTTACAGCAAGTGTTCACTATTACCAGAGAATTTCACCACAGCAGTTGAAGAGAGCACTCCAATACCATGGTGCAATCTGTTGCCATCACAAAGTACTTGGGCTGTTTATATGGTGTTATTACTTGTTTATATGCTCAACATAACAATGCATAATATTTTGTACCGATATGCCAGGGAAATGGTTCAAAGCTAAGTGAAATATCTACTTACTGTATATGAAAATGTATTTAAAAACCCAAAGGGTTCCTTCGGTTCAATTAACGAACTAGTGAAATGTGAACGTAGTGATTTGCAGAGACTAGAAGGATATATTTTATTGTTGTTTTTTAAAAAAAATCTAATGTATTGAGGAACTCTTCAGATGGCAAGAGTGCCTGTTATTGGGAAGGCAAAATTGTTAGTGTCCATTGGAGGGAAATGCGTTATGAAGGCAGACTTGTATAGACATAAGCTATAAGCATAAAGAAACACCATCACTGTCGAACTACTGGTAAAGTCATGAAAAGCTGTGCGCAGTTTTATTTTCTTTGTAATCTAACTTTACATTCCAAAAACCGCAGTCCCTGCCCTAGAGCCATTATGAAAGTTTACTCACAGATTCATTGTACATCTCAATTTTTACATATAGGATTAATAGTATAGGCATGTAAGGTGGCATGATTTCATCAAAAAGGCTTCAACTTTCACTTAGGAAATCAAAAAAGGTAAATAAATAAAAAGGTGCTAACTTTAGCATTTTAAACTTCAAATTCATAGATATATATACTGCACACAATTTCTGTGATGCCAAATCCTCAAGCTCTCCTGATATGAATAATTCTCCACAAACTATTTTAAAGCACATAAACATGAAATCTTTAATACGTGCGTGTGTGTGGAAAAAAATAAAAGCTTTTTAAAAACCCTATCAAAACAGCTTTCAGGCCCTTTTTGTTATTATTATTATTTTTTTTTAAACAGTGATTAATCGTATATGCCTATACCTGGGCAAAGCAACAAGGTCGACAATGTTCAACAAAATTAAAATCATTACAACAAAAGATTGAAACAAAACATCTTTTCCTTTTAGGGCAAACTAACAAAGCCCAAAGAATTAAGTTATTACACTGGCAACGTGTCAATGTTACCCTCTGAAGATGCGTCAAGAATATGAAAAAAACGGCACGCAAAACGGTGAAACTTTACAGGGCGATTTAAACAGTCACCAATTAATGGTACACTCAAGAGGTAACACACAGGATGGCATTGCAGAGCTCGCATTACAAACACTAGTAAGCAGCTGATTAATGAGGTGTTCACTTATGCATTATTCAAGAGCCACAATACGTTTGAAAAACGAGCTCGCTGTGATGGCTAATTATTTCTAGACAGGTAACCTTTGAATATCTTTTAGGAAAGCTTTGGGATTTTCTTTTTCTGAAATGACAGGTTACTAAAACTCATGCACTCCTCAAAAAACCTCATGCAGTAGTTAAGGTAAACCATCCAAGCAGTTTTATTCATTAATATTCATAAATACACACAGCAGCTTCATTAGAGATTTTTCTTTTTTTTCCTCTTCAGTTGAATGTGGAGTATTAGGAGAGCCTTTTGCATGTCAAGGTACAGGAAGCAGAGACTGCCTCTGGCACTGCTACCTACATTTACCTGCTAGAAGTAAAAATTAGTAAGTGGAATCAATTATCTTATTTTTTTTCTTCCTTGAATGTACACAATGTAACAAGAGTGACAGACCTGAAATTACAATCACCAAACAAACCCAAAGATAGCTGTTGTCCACTTTCATTGGCAGTTACAGCACAGAGGACATTGTCTGCAAAGTGGGACATCATCAAAGAGGAGGTGGTGGAGGCTCATTTCCTTTATTACTCTCTTTTAAATTTAGGTTTTCTAAAGCAACATCTAAAGGCATAATATCTACACAGCCAATAGCACCGAAATCTGTGAATTCCCCTCGTTCGTCCTCGTCTGAGGAGGAACTTTCTTCCCGCATCAGAGTGGAGAGGAGGAGCTCCTGCACAAACAGGCTGTGGTCTGCCCGCTCGCTCTCCAGAGATTGACGTTCCCCTTCAGACATCTTCGGTTCATTCAACCTGCAGGCAGTACCAGAACATGTTACTCACACAGCAAGAGTGTTAAGCCGGTTCACGTACACATCACACACACACCCGGTGCCCTCATTACACAGTGGAATCCAACCCCGTGGCCCTTCAACAGTCAGAACTTCACAAGGTTACATCACAATAATCTAACCAGCAAGCGTGCAAAAAAAATAAAAGACCTTCCGTTGAACTGGAGTATATAATGCCACAGGCACTGCTGCTTCTCTGGACTTTACCAAAGTGCTCATTCGCAGGATAATAATGTGCAGCTATGGTTTAACTGCTGAAAGGATCAGAGCTGAGGCCTATCTGGTCCTTAGCTGAGGATTTACATCCACATTTTCCAGCAGATGTCAGTGGATAGCAACTGGAGTGGTCGCTCATGGCCATCTCTTTCCCTTCCTTAATCAATGGCTTGGCAGCTCTTCAACCAGCAGCCTTGCTAACTCTGCACATAGACCACATTGGTCGTTCCTAGTCTGTAAACTCCGAACCTTCTCAATACATTCTACCCACAACTACAACTGCTGGTTCAGTCATTCTTCTAAGCCGGGGTGGGTGGTCCAACCTTTTGGCTGCCTACTTGAGGAAGGTCTGCAGGCTGCCTAAGCAATATTTTGTGTTTCCCTTCCAGAAACATAACATTTACACACAGCCCCTTTTCATGTTTTATTCCTCCACTCACTAGTCACCATTGACAAATCTCTTTTAAAAAGTAAAGCAAGTCTTAGATTAATACAATGTAAATAAACATTGCTCCAGATATGTCCTTGAGTCGTTAGCTAAGGATTTCCTAAAGCAATGAGACAAATCTTTCTCGTTTGTTGTAGTCTAAACTTGCCATGTCAGCTAATTTATTCCCCTCAAACCAATCAGCAATAAAATACCCATATGTATCTCTATATATGTCTATTTTCTCCCCTCCCTGCTGCTCATATTCGAGGAAGGTGATCAGTTCGAACTATGTAATAAGACAATCAGGGACAACTTAAATAAAGGGTGAAAAATAGTAAGGGAAAATTTGATTTTTAACTGCAATGGAGCATGTAAACATAACTGCAGTTTTAACATAAAAGCAGCAGCTGTGATTTACAACGAAAATAAAAGGCAATTAAAATCCATGTGTTTTTAAGGTTGCCGAGTTTATTCTCTCCTGGCAAGGTCACATTGAATTTGTAAACGTCAAAAGGGTTTATTAGCCACAGTGTCGGCTGATATAGCAGAAAATGAAAACAGCAATGCCAACATATAAGAGGAGTTTGTCATGAAATCCACATATATTTTGTTTCAACCATATCTGAGCTAATCTTACCATACAGCTGTCTGCGGCACATCGGTCAGTTTAGGCACCATGTTTAAGGACTGCTTCCTTGGGGTGCACACTCTGCTTGTGTGTGTGTGTATGTGCATGTGTGTGCGTGTGTACACACACGCGGGGAGTGGGTGAGGCTCCTTGCCTACTAAAAAAGCAAGTGCTAAGAGCTGCAGATTGCTCGGAGATCAATTGTTGGTAAAGGGGCCAGAAAAAAAGAGTGAAAAGGCAGCACAGTGAGCAAACAGTCGGGGCCATAGGATATGTATGTTTAAAGTCCAAGTCAGCAAGAGTTCATGTCAAGATTAGGGCTCTCCTCTCGCTGGAAACTCTCAATAAAAGCTACAGTGGTATTTTCAATACAGCCAAATTCAGACTGGGACGAGAGTGAGCAATTGAACTTATGGTCCTACCACTGCTTATTGGGTGGTTTATTGGTCTCAATGGCGATGCGGGTTATTTGGAGGGCTTAGAGCCAGCAGAACGAATGCCCGTCTTTGCTAGTGTAATAGAAATGAATAGAATCCCGATGAAGGAATTTTGTCTTCAGCTCGTTTTTCTATAGCCAGGCTATGATGCAGAAAAGAGCTCTGGTGTGTGTTGGGTCTAGGGCTCATATGGATACCATAGGTGAAGATGCTGTATTTTTAAAGGGATCTTTTGGGACAGAGCCCAGTTTTAGAGGGTATTTCATGCTTTCATCACGACTGTCCTGGGAAGCATCATGTAGAGGCATCTGTAATTTCTCATGCGTCAGTATGCTGAGGTCTGTGGGGGTAATTTGGAAAATAAGGAAAGTGGAAAAATATGGATGGTGTGGAAAATATGGATAGTGGTTTTTTTTTGTGAGATTCTAACAGGTTTTCTTACCTTGCGAGCAAGAATTGGGAATTGTGGGAGGTCTGCTGACTGTTTTCTGTGATGGTTGTGTTATTAGCCACTGTGGTCTGTGTGACTGTGGTGCTGAGGCTGCCTGTGTTGGTACGTCTTGTTGCATTGCGTGCTGATTCCAGTTGCTGCCGTGCTGCCTGTGCCTGCTGTCTCTCTAGCTGCAATTGCATTTGCAGCTGTTGTAACTGGGAGGCAGAGGGGCCAGAGGAGTTGAGCTGTCCTCCAGCAGAACGTCTGACACCTGATAACTGTGATAACAGCTCTGCAACAAACGGACAGGACAGAAAGCACTCATCGGTTATTTCGGAGAAGCCGAAATTCATTGAAATGAAATTCATTCATTTCTTTCCACAGTAGACTGCCAATCTAACCAGTAACATAATAAAAAGAACATTTTCGCAGTTCCTAGAACTCGACCTCATTAAAAAGGACCTTGCTACTTATTGCTTTCTTCCCCATCTTCTCGTCGATCTTGTCTCAATTGCAGTGCCTTGGATGTCCCCCCGATGGGAAATTCACTATACAAATGTAGTTTTATATTGTATTGTAATTAAAATCAGAATTTGTACTTTACCCATGCCAATCACGGTGAATGCAGTTGCCCAAACTTTCTCCGGCTGTCAGTTAAAGATTATGAAACTGAACTCTATTTTGTGACATGAATCATACCAAGAATCATGGGGTTCCAAAACCCCATGATCAATCTGGTTACTTCAGAGCAGTAAATGAGAGGTAAAAAACATGTCAATGACCGGAGATTCAGATAAAATTCAATATTAACATTCAGTGATGAACACTAATCTACTTGCAGCATAGCTCACATACATTTTGTTTACTTAAGGCGCATTTGCAAAAGAGCACGAAAAGCTAAAAATACCTCTACGCTCAAAAGATCGTATACAATAATCTAATTTAATCACATTTTTGGCTCTCTTCTTTTCTAATGCACGTAATAGTGATGTAATCGAGCTCCTCGAAAATCCTTTAGTTGTGTTAATGAATCCACGACGATAACCAAAAATGCTAAGTGCTTCACACTTGCAACAGAGGGGCAAGAGCATGTTCACAAACAAAACGATCAGCTGTTCTTGAGTTGGAAAATTTGTTAATCATTAATAACTTGAGCTTGTGAGGAGCAGCAAACCCATCACTTATTACTCAGAACACTGGGATAGCATTGCTCCATCAGCTATCATACACACATCACCGCAAACTCAGTTTAAACCAGCTTGTAAATCAACTGTTAATAGTCATTAAATTCTGGTTATTCTGAACCAGAACAGAAATCTTCTGGCACCATGTACAATCTCACATCATAGAATCTTACAGAAGGAGGCCATTCGGCCCATCGTACCTCTGCCAGCTCTAGTGGGACTGGAATCTGGACCCAAGGTGGTGGGTGGGGGGGGGGAGAGGGAGGATGGGATAAGGGAGGGTGGAGGGCAGGAAGGTGGCCGAAGGAACAATCAAAGAGAAGGGTCTTAAGCCGTGCCCTGAAGAGGGCAAGGGAGGGGAGTGAGGCAAAGGGAATGTGGGATGGAATTCCAAAGGGTGGGGGCAGAAAGGCTGAAGGCCTGACTGCCGATGTTGGGGCAGGCCGGGCAGGGGACGTAGCACAGGGGGAGAGGATAAGGGGTTAGCAGGTCACAGAGGTAGGAGGGGGGCAAGACCGTGGAGGGCCTTGAAGGTGAGGCCGAGTATTTTGAACTCTATCCTCTGGGGGGCTGGTGAGCCAGTGGAGGGCGGGGGTGATGGCATCACGGAGCCTGGTGCGGGAGAGGACACGAGCTGCAGAGTTCTGGATGATCTGCAGTTTGTGGAGATTTGGGAAGGCCGACAAGCAGGGAGTTGGTGCAGTCGAGCCTCGATGTGATGAACAGGTGAATGAGGGTTAGGTGGCCTGAGGGGTGAGGCAGTGGCGGAGCTGGTTGATGTTGCGGAGACCAGATGTAACCCTTAGCCCTGTAATTTTTTTTGATGTTCTATTCAAAATCGTCCGTAATATGGATGGAGTGAGGTGAAATGCCTTTCTGACGGCTTGTTTCAGCTCCTCTGTTGTTTTGTAACAGGGTGGAGAGAACTTTGTGGACACCTTGTACTATAAATTATTAAATGCAAGACAGATTTTTTTTTCCGGTAACAGCAATGCCGCAGGGCCTATAAATTGTCAAATACAACCCTGGTTTTCTTCCCCCCCAAACGCCCATCGTTTTTTTTTTTAGCAATGGCAGTCAGGTCCTCCAATGGGTCCTTTTATTCTAGGTTTTCGTCACGTGGCATGTGAGATCCGGGTGAGCTCACTGTTCTGAGTACCCAGCTAATCATGAATGTTATTTTTGACTGCTAATCAATGACCACATGCCTGACATACAAGTTGGCTGCCTCAATTGAGCCTGCATCTCAACAGTTAGAGCACTCGCTTCGGGAACACGAGACCTGGATTCGATTCCCAGGTGGGGCGAAACTTCAGGCAAGTTTCCTTACTCCACACGCCCGTTTACCTAGCAGTACGTAAGAACCCGGCTGTTAGTTGATTGGCAGATCGCTTTTCTGGGGGTACTAATTCCTATTACACCAATCTCTCACAAGCCCCACTGCCCTCCATGCAATACAGAACTTTGGAAGATTGAGGTAATATTCGGCAGATTAATAGTTAAAAGCTGCTATGAAATTTCAACTAACTGAAGGTCTGTAGCAATAAGTCCTACTTCTTATCCATCCCCTGAATATATGGCTGAATTTGGTTATTGTAATAATGCATTATGATTTCGAATGAGATAAGAAAATTTGCAACCCCAGAAGGCTGTAGATTCTCAGTCCTTGAACATCTTCAAGGCTGAGACTGATAGATTTTTAAAAAATAGAGGGATTAGGGGATTATGGGGATAGGGTAGGTAATTAGAGTTAGGTCTGAAGATCAGCCATGATCTTATCAAATGGCGGGGCACAGGCTCGAGGGGCTGAATGGCCTACTCCTGCTCCTAATTCTTATGTTCTTATGAATCTTGGAAACCTGGAATGAAACAAAAAATGCTAGACGTTTTCCAACAAAGGGTTAGCATTTTATCGAAGAAAAACAAGTACTTCAATAAAATACTAACCCCTTTTTCACATGCAGTTGCTAGTTCATCTGCTTAAGGATTTTTAAAAAATTATTTATTATCTTCTTTTTTTACAATGAGCAGCACCACCATGTGGCACCACCAAACTGCTACAGCGACAGAATAAAACTTAACAGAATAAAATGTTCTACAGCAAAACACATGATATCTGACTGAAGTTTTGTCCTTCATTCATTATCAAAGAAAATTCTTTAGGAAGCAAAAAAAAAAAAACTGCTTCAGAAAGTGTATGAATCATCTTCTCCTATCAGGACAGCCTGATTTAGATTTAATAATAATAATAATCCTTGCATTTGACATAGCACCTTATCATGTCTTTGAGACGTCTCAAAGCACTTTACTGTAAAGTGAATTGACTGTATGTTTTGTGAGCGAAAGGCAGCAGCCATTGCGCACAGCAGTGTCCAACAAGCAGTCGTGGATTAAAGTGACCTAATTATATTTATTTATTTTTGAAGGAATTATTACTCCCAGAAAAGCGATCCGCCAATCGACTAAGAACCGGGTTCCTACTTAAGTGCAAGGTAAGCAGAGGCGTGTGGAGTAAGGAAACTTGCCCAGTGTTTCGTCTTGCCGGGAATCGAACCCAGGTACATAACAGAACAGTTACTGTAAACGTATGACAATTAGACAGTGAAATGAGTAACTCACCAGCTATTGGGTCCATAGCTTCCCTATTGCTTGGAGAATATGAACTCTGTGAGGATGAAAGCCCGCCAGTGGAACTGCTAGCAAAGTGCATGTTTGATCTACGAGCACGAGGTCCTCCCAGGCCTCGGCCAGGATGAAACATCCTTCGTACGTGCCGAACACCACTGGATTCATCATGAACAACCATTAAGGAAATACATACATCATAAACAGAGCAGCAGCCTTTCCCAAAGAAAATCACAATTCTCTATTTAAACAATTTACTAACGCGAGTCAGAAACAACCATAATTAGGGAAAATAGTGTCGCTACTGCCTTGATGTCACCATAATACCTTAAAGTCCAAAAAATACTATTTGGGCTTCATCTGTTATGGCACCTTATAGTACTTCACAAACTGTAATCGAGTTTGGAGATTTATTGAGGCTCCATCTACCATGTCGAGATAGTTTTATTCAGTCCAGCAGTTCAAGTTTACTTTGGGGGCTACAGGGGGCTCAAAAAACATAACTTAATTTAAATTTGAGAATTGGATTAGGGAGTTTAAAAAAGCTACATGATTCACACGTGCAAAGCATCTACATCAGGCATCAGATCCCAGAAGTAGTGGCTAAAATTTCACACAAAAANCATTGAATATTCTAACCGATGGGGTGTTTTTTTTGCGTTTAAACCACCAGGCTGTTCTGATACAGTTACAGTATAAAGTCAGAATCAGAAGAACTGGCATTTATATAGCACCTTTCACATAATGTAATATCTCAGATCACTTTACACGTGGGATGGAACCTGTGTAAGAGAGAGAAGGGAGAGGGAGGTGGCCAAAGGCGGGTCGAAAGATTTAGGATTTGAGGCAGGACTTAAAAATAGAAAGGGGTGAGAGAGAGTGGTAAAAGGAGGGAATGCTAGACATCAGGTGCATAGGAACTGAAGGCTGAGTCATCTATGTAGCGTGGAGAGGACAGGGAAAGTGCAGAAGTCCAAATTTGCTGAGCAGAGAAGCAGGGAGAACTAGCAAAGAAATAAAAAGGTGCAAAGGAGTCGATAGCTTTGTACTCAAGGATGAGAACCTCAAAATGACCAAATGGGAGACAAACGAGGGCTTAAGTGATGGGTGTGTGGAGTTTGGTGCTGGTGAGGATGTGGGCAACAGAGTTTTGGATGAGTTGCAGCTTATGAATGGTGGAGCTAGGGAGATCAGTGAGGTGTGCATTTCAAAAGTCTAGGAGGATAAAAGGTTGGGATGATGGCATAAATGGCTGTGAAATAGAGGCGGGGATAGCAATGTAGCAGAGGTGAAGATAAGACGGTCTTAAAGAGAGGCCCGATGTGAGGGGAAAAAGGAAAGCTGTATTGAACCTATTACCAAGGTTGTCACCAGTTCACAGAGTTTGAGAGAGAGGCTGAGGAGATTGAGGAGGTCAAAACTGGAAGAGCGGAGATGTTGGCTTCTGTCTTATCCATATTCAGTTGGAGGAAATTTTGCCTCAGGTGGATAGGCAAGCAGACAGAACCTGGATTCATGAGGAGAGGTGGAAAAGTAGACTTAAGTGTCATCTACATACAGAGGCCAGAGAGAGAAAGAGAGCACGTATGAAAGACGCACACAGAAACAATTTGTTTCTGAATCCACAATGGAGCTGGTCCCAATTAGCCAGGATTGGGCTCTTAATTGCAATTCAGTTCTCAGATTTAATCTATTCCCTCAAAGCAGGTTTTCAGCCCAATTAGGCCAGTGATGCAAATGATCCAAACGTTTAAGGGATGCATTCCAGTAGGTCAGGCAGTTGCTTAGCTCGTGCTAAACCAATTTGGCAAGTGAACGTCAAGTCAAATGCACCTGGGAGATACATCAATAGAGGTACTTGGTCCAAGTCTGAAGGTCAGTCATGTCGGTCTTCATATATGGTAGTTAATTGGCATGAGGAATAGCTTTCTGGCAACATTGCACAATTTGAACAAGGACAACAGTTTCATAACTACCCTGACAAAAGAAGCAACCCAAGTAAAATCCCAGCCACTTCTTGAGTAATTCTTTAAAAAAAGTACCTGACACAAGGAACGAGAGGGGGAATTCTTTACACATATGTGAGAAATCATGTGAATATCAAAAACAATCGAAGACTTCATAAGGTGATTCTCAGGTGACTGGCCAGATCTATGGAGGATACTGAAATAATCAATAAGTCTCATACCAGACAAAACATACTTGGTCTATATTAGATGCTAAGGCTATAGCATATACAAAGGCTCTATTGTATTGCACTTCTCAAAATAAAGTTTGTACATTATGAAAAAGCCACGGAGCAAAAGCCAGCCTTTTACAAACAATGCTAAGATGTATTTCCATACCCTAGCAAGAGTAAGATAAAGTGGCTGACAAACGAGACGCAACCAATATTCATTTAAAGTGACATCTATTATTTTTGTGGCACAAGACAGTTAGTAGAATATATTAAACTGTTGAAGGATATTAAATCTCTAGGAGCCCTGTGTTCAAGTGTAAGATGAGCTGCAAAGTCATCCGTGACATGATTAGGATCTCCTCCAGGTAATGCTGCACAAATTGGACAAACCTGCAATATATTAAAATACAAGATTAATGGCCATCTGAAATAATACAGATATCGGAGTTCAGATAGGATAGAAGGGAGCGGTAGAAGGAGAGGGAAAGCTTATACCGAATATTCCCGTCAAAGAGAAGCTGCTCTCAAAGGGTTAATTCTTAGTATTAGAATACGAGTGAAGACTACAAGCTGTTTCTCAGCGTTAGTGACTTGTCTGTCCACAAAAATAACGTGGAGTGAACAAACAACACATTACATTTGTGTAGCGCCTTTCACGTCAGGAGGACGCCCCACGGTGTTGCAGCCAAACAGTTAAAGCAGCATCAAAACTAAACGAGGCATCTTGAGTTATAGAATGCAAGTAACTACTACAATTTACAACATATCGGGCCCTTCACACGGAGTAGTGACTGAGCGCTTGTGTATCATACATGAACATTAACAGCTGTTTCCATGTAACTACTGGCTACACACACACAATCTTGGAAGGAACGGACGCTTGCGTAGCTGCTGTGTAAAATCTTTACATGTGCTTTGTAATCTAAAAGCATAACCTGGAAACCTACGAAAAAATAGAATTGCCACACAATAATATGCTGGAACTACGGAATACACAACACTTCTACAGGTTACAAAGAGCGCACAACATAACCCAATATTAAAATTATCCTATTCAAACAATCTACAACTATGGTATGTTATGCAGTACATAAGTTGTATAACAAAGTATATTAAAACATCAGTTATAGACTCTGCAAAACTGATCAAAGCAGCGAATGAAATCTCGAGTTTAGAGAAATACTGCCCCCATGTGGAATAGCCAGTCATTACAGGACAAGATTATTATTATTATTATTATTATTATTATTATTAAGATCAAAGTCTCTCTAGGAGTATTGTCACAAGCCAGAAAAAGAAATTGTAAACTGACCAAAATGATAAAAGTTATAAGCTGAGAAACCTTTTGCCATTTCAAAATGTAATTAGAATTAGTAATACTTTCGGAATTAATAATACTTTAAAACAATATTTAACAACCAACAATAATAATCCTTGCATTTGATAAATCGCCTTATCGCGTCTTCGTGACGTCTCAAAGCGCTTCACGGAAAATATTGTAAAATGAATTGACTGTATATTTTGCGGGCGAAACACGGCAGCCAATTGCTCACAACAATGTCTCACAAACAGTCGTAGATTGAGTGACCAAAATTATTTATTTGAAGGGATTATTCCCCCCCGGAAAAGCAATCCACTAATCGACTAAATGCTAGGTAAACAGGCGTGTGGAGTAAGGAAACTTGCCTAACGTTTCGCCCTGCCCAGGAATCGAATCCAAGTCCTCTCGCTTGCGAGGCGAGTGCTCTAACCATTAAACTACAGAACTCCACACGTATGATTGTATTAGCACATACTTCAGATAATAAGAAGGAAATGAATAATTTAAAATTTAAAGGTGCAGATCAAAAACACAGTTAACACAACGCATATTAAAAGAGTTTTGAAGGAGGTGAGGGAATTTGGTAAAGAGTTCCAGAAAGCAGTATCATAGTAACTTCAGGGCTCAATCACCAATGCTGCAACAGAAGGATGGACAATCATTGGAAGAGCAAACGGTACAGACACGTGAATAGGACTAGACATAGGCAGTGAAGAGCTAAGTAGCTGGAGTGAGCAGGGAAGGTGGTGGCATAAGAGTCGGAGCCAGAAGCAAAAGTCACAAAAGATGGTTTCAGTTTTGTTGATGTTCACATGAAGGAAGTTAACGTTCTTCCAGGTCTTTATGCCTAATAGGAAGTCAGGTTAGAATAGCTATAGTCCTGGTATTTATGAAGAGATGCAGAGCTGTATATCATCTGTACATAAAGTGCCACTGAACACAAAAGTAAGGAAGTGATGATGAATCTGTGAAAGGCATTGGTTAGACTGCAGAGGGTGAGGTGAAAGGTAGGGGAATTTGAAGAGCAACCACCAACACAAAGAAATGACTCAAATGGCCCCTATTTATATCATGTTTCCATGGTTCTATAGTATAGTTGTGGAAACCAAGGGAAAGTGCTTGATATACAGGGAAACCCTCCTACAATGTAATGTTTGGGATTAATAAAATGCTACCTGAAACGAAATAAGAAATGAGAGGCCCAAGTATAGATCCCTAGAACGAGAGTAGGTCTAAGGACATCACACAAAGAGGTGGGAAAGAGTTTGGGAGGTGACAACGCATTCCAATACTTTAAAGAGAAAGGAAAAGTTAAAGGGCGATAGTTTCATGAGAAGGTAAAGGGATTTATTTGAAGAAAAGGCAGACTGATGTTTGGTTCTGTTTCTTGTGTGAGCCATAACCTGCAATCAAAAGTGCATGCTACTTTGTAGAGTAAATATGTTATATTTACATATATATGTATATATTTAATCTTAGAATTGACCCTCAATATAAAATGATGTCCATTAAAGAAGTGGGATGGCCTTTGGGAAGGTTTATCTCACAGAACAGAAAAGGCTAAAATGAATTTTTCAATATCAGTCCATCAACAAACCTTTCATCTTAAGGTAAGATGTGAGTTAATTTAGACCTTAAGAGTACGAAGTGCCTGGATTGCCCCAAAAATACGGAAACACCAAGAAACACATGGAGAGACCCATCGAAATCCAGCTAAATTCACATAGCTCACCATTGTGAGCACTGTCTGACAACCTTCCCATCACCGTCCAGCTGGAACCATCCAAGTCATCAGAATACTGACTTGCAAGGATCAGCAGGAGCCAAGTGGGAAGAATCCCTGCTTCTCAAAGTCCTGTAGATGAGGCAATCAGAAAGGCCCTACAGCACAAGGCAACCTACCTTTTGGAGTTAAGGCCATGCTTGAAAGAGGGGAATATTTAAGGCTGTGGGTATTAAGTAGTTAATCCTGAATCATTCATTAAGTGACTGGTGCTGAAGAAACAGCACAGACGAGTTGGGCCAACAAGATCATAGATATTTTCAACCCATGCTTAAGTTGATCCAACACTGTGAGACTTCAAGAAATGAAAGCTATGATTTTAAACAAATCTACGTTTTTGAAACGAGTGCAAATTTAAAAAAAAAGAAAGAAATGCAGACGCTAGAAAACCAAGATACTGGAAGGGCACAACAGGCCAACCTGAAGAAAAGCACTGTCCAAAACATTAACGCAAGATCGTAGAAAATTCTTAAATCCTGATTTGGAAACAAGTAAAAATAAACTGGCTTTTAAATTATGATTGAATTATAAGACATCTCCACCATTCTGCACCATCTTAAATTAAAGATAAAATACAGTACGTTGTAAAGTCACTGTAGCATGGTTTGCTTCATTGCATTTACGTGCAGTTTGGCTCAGTTGGCAGCACTCTCACGGTGTGAAAAGGATGTGGGTTCAAGCCACACATTAGGATGACAATGTGAAAGCCAACAGTGCAGTCCTGTTGGCCTGATGTATTACCAGGGGGACGTTAAAAAAACACATTATTTCAAAAGAGATGGGTGTACAGGCCAACAATTCTCCAGATACATTGTCTGTTTGTGGGGTTTTGCTTCCTGCCACATTTGACTACAAAATAGTTACTGTACAAGACACTTGAGTACTGCAAAGCATTTTGAGACGATGTCACAGGCACTATAAAAACGCAAGTTCTTTCTTCCTAGCAAGAGAATTAAACATTAAGGCACTGCTATAAATTTATAGCAGCGCCCTCTTCGAGTTCTGTGGTTATTAATGCTTGCAGCCCACTTCCCATATTGTTTGCAGCCTCACCCTGTTTCTGCGCTGTAGAGTCCAGGAAAATCACAAAACACAAAAGTCCTGCCACAGCAGTAGCCTTGGGACGTCCTCCCGACGTGAAAGGCACTATCCAAATGTAATCTTGTTGTTGGTTGTTGTCAAGGTCCACAAAATTCTAACCAGTGTTAAAAAGGGACGCACAGCCAGTCAGGGTTGCAAGCGTGTGCGGGAAATTACTTCAGTGGCAATCTGATAACCTGGAAGATGGCCATTTTTAGCAGGTGGCATTTTGAAGCAAGACAGACAGACCACTGGCGCTGCATGTGTTGGATTTTGTGGTAAGTAAATGTTATGGGTTTGCCCCCGCCCCAATGTTAAGTTATCAAAAAAAGGAGCAGAAGGGTATTAACAGGATTCGGCGGTAGCTGAAGTAGGGAAGCAGGAGTTGTTTGGTACTGTTGACAGTCCAAGGGTTTAGTGAGCACCACGGAATTAAACCTGAAACATCACGGGTCGTCCAATGTATACGCGTTTACATACACACAATCATTTCTCAATCATATTCATTCAAATCAAGATTAACATGTGCACAGCCACATAAAAGAATCATTATGATTTGTAAGTTAAACAGGCAACGTTTTCAGGGGTCACCTTCCTCCGCTGTGCATTAAATTATGTGCCAAATAGTATTCCACCCAACTTGAGCAGTGAGGGTGGACGAGCACCACGTGGACCACGAATGCAACTATAGAATCAAGACTGTTACTGGCTTTATTCTTTAAGTCCTGGGAGAACAGCTCTTACCACTTCTGTTGAGGTTTCTGCGTGCTCTGAAGTAACGTGTTCCTGGAGAGTTGTTTCAGTGAACCCCATTTTCCCACAGTAAGGACAAGTAAAAGACTGCGGCTGCTCAACTGAGAGGGCTTCCCCACCGTAATACAAATCTGAAAAAGAATATACATTAGCAGTCAATAGCCTGAATGTTATAGACATTCCCATTTCCAAAGGGATTTTTTCACAATGTTAACCTGGCGCTGAAAGAGAAACTTAAATGTTTTGACCGGAACCTTTCAGCAGAACTGGGCTGGAAAAACTCCTAAAATGATGTAAAAGGCAAGTAGGTCAAAAAAAACTCAAAGAATTATTTAAACTCACTATATGTGTACTCAAAGAGCCCGCTAAGAGAATCAATTGTAAACATCTGGATAGAGGTGTCAAAGTATTACATACTAGACCCGGCAAACTACAAACTAGCAATTTCTTCAAACCTTATATGACTTTTACATTACAAGTTTATCTTTGGGGTCAAGGGTACGTCATGTCGCAACTTGTAAAAGGGACAGATTTCCTTAGGGTCGGATCTCCCATTGCCTCCACAAACAGGAGATCCGAATAGACACTGAAAAATCCAAGTTAAGAGAGCAAACCTAGAAATGTTCCTTAGGATTGTAATGACATTAAGGCATTTGTACGTTCACAAACCACCACTGGAACTTTTTCTTTTAATCTTCAAATAATGATAGGTGAATCGTGAAAGAAGCTGGGAAGCAAATCTGATGACCAGGTGCATTTCCCAGCCTCCACCATTCTCCACTAGACGGTGCAGATCATCAAATAAATTGCATTGCGTTATGGAAGTCTAAAGACCATGTAGAAGTAGCAAAGGATTGAAACGCGGGATGATCTTCCTTCTGGCACATGCACTGAGCCTCTGGAACCTCAATAGAAAAACACTATTCGCTGTTCACTCCTTCAACTGCTCCTTTACCTTTTCTTAAAACATGATATGCATGTGAAGATAATTGGACACAAATAAAAAAAGATTGTATTAGGAGTTATAATGTCACTGCCAGCCTTAGTCTCCGTGTTTAGGGTCCAGAGGAAAGCGTCGGTATGTTAAAAAGTTGAAAAGAATTGAGGAATTTCACAGCTTTGTTGAGTGATCGGTTTCTCCATTTATTCCAGGTGATTCTTTCGAGGACATTTGGGTCTTACGCTTGGCGTCATCCCAGTGATCAAAACAATTTTGCTGCGGCGACGTTTCAAATATCTTCCAACTATTATTCTTAAAAGATTATGCTGCATTTTGACTACAACTAAGAATAGTCTGTAAACTTTGCCAGGTTGATCACTGGGTTGAAGCATTCATATGGACCATTCTCTTTGAAAATGTTTCTCTTTGGCATGCCTCACCCTCACCTATAAATCTCCTCACATCCGAGGAACTTCCTATCTGTGTGATCTTCTCCTACCCCATTCTGCTCACCCCCTCCACTTAGTTAACTCGAGCCTGTGCATATACCCACGTCCTCCACATTGCCGTCGGTGACCAAGCTTCAGCTTCCCTGTGTCTCACTCCCTCTCTACCCCTCATTAAACCCACTTATTTGACTGCATCTATGATCATCTCTCCCTTCCTCCTCCCTTGCTTGACATCCAACCCCATTGTGGAGTACTCCAAGATGCTTCACCCACAAAATAGTCAATTCACTTCACAGTATATTCGGTAAAGGGCTTTGAAACGTCTCAACGACGCGATAAGGCGCTATATCAAATGCAAGGATTATTATTATTATGTTTTCCTACATGAAGGACACTATATAAATATAAGTTGTTTTGTTTTCAAAGCAATTCACTGTATTTTCTGATAGCAAGTTCAGCCTTAAGGTATTTTTGCCAGGATATAAATCATGCAATGCAACCAATTCTATAAATGAGATTCAGTCAACTTATTTGCTTCGTCACATTTTACAAAAAAAAGTATGGTTATCACAAGTCGTGTGAAATTCAGGCGCTGGGCGGAGTACACGTGGGGGCATCCACTAGTTGCACATAGTGTGCAGGAACATGATGATATTCTGGAGACTGTGGTCACCCCGCATGTAGGAACCTTTCTTCTCAACACCACCACCATTAGAGTACAGCATAAAGAAAATGCCCATCAGAGTGGCTTCTTATTCAATCAAAAGGGCACCATCATCGACGGCCATTTCCCACAGCGCGCGCATCTATGTACTAGTTTTCAGGTTTCAGATACAATAAATAATAATCCTTGAATTTTTTATACTGCACCTCTCACGTCGGAAGGTTGTCCCCAAATACTTCACAGGATTTACTACAAAATGACTATTCGCAAGCAAACTCGGCAGCTAATTTGCGCACAGTAACGTCCCACAAACAACCGTGAAGCAAATTACCAATTTTATCTGGGAGATGTATCTGGGAGAACACCAGTAGAAACTCCCTTTTCTTTTTTAAATAGTACAATGGGGTCTTTAACCTCGACAAACAGGACTTTGGTTTAATATCTCATTCGAAGACGGCAACTCCAACAATACAACACCTCCCCAGCACTGCACAAAAGCAATAGCTTTACTCAGCGTATCATGTGAAACCTTGTACAAAAGTCTAAAGACAAATTGACATCAGTAAAGGCTGTTTGAGATGTCCATTGGCCTATAAATGAGCTGATACTTTAAGAGTAGTTTTGTAATAGATGTGGGCAAGAAGGAAAGGTTTCATGTCACAAGCTGAGCGATCGCAATATCCAATGCTCTCCCCCACTCACACAAAATTAGATATAGACTATGAGGGAATTGTTTTTTGAAAAGCATAGGGGAACAAAACAAAACACTCAGAAATAGGGAATAAAATGTGGATCATTTTTAAAACATTTTAAGTCAGGTCTAGCTCTGGAGCACATCTAGAGTTTATTATGTGTATTCTCATGCACATCTACATTGTGTGAAGTAGGTCAGATGATGCAAGAAGGATCACTGAACTAAATTAAACTGAATCCTTTTCTCCACATAACAGTCACTACATGTCAAAGTAATTAATTATAAAAAGCGAACCGCCTCGAGACATTCTCGACGTGAAAGGCATTATGCAAATTGCATTGTTTAAGGCACTATATCAAATGCAAGTATTATTTATATCTCTAGTGTTTAACTTCTGCTCGATGAGAACCAATTGTAATTTGAATACTACACCAGTACAGTCCTACCCCGTTTATGCTGACATAAGCGAGTTTCGGCAAAGACAAACCAACCAAGGAAGAATGCACTTAATGATGTTCGGGACTTGAAAAATTTGTTGATAAAAGCACTCTGAAATTAATGTCGATGTGGAGATACATGGTAAGATTAGCGTGTTCCTCTACGGGAAGGACCCGGGTACGCAGATTTTTGTCAACATGTCAATGTAAACAGGTTTGAGCTAAGTGGATAGCACTGTATCAGAATCTCAGCTTCTCCCCTCAGAGACATGTTGAACAAAGGTAAGATCATCCAAAAGGAAACGACTTGTGTGACCCATTACTGTGATCTTAACCCTCTCTGACATTATGGGGGATTAGAAGTACAAAAGCAGTAAAAGGAATACAGTAACTGGAATTGAAACACCATGAAAGGCTTGGCCTTAGCAGTTTCTACTTGAACGGAAAATATTCACCGGTGGAGATGAGTACATAACTGGCTTCCCCTAGCGATTAAAAATAAATGTTCCCATCTTGTAATAAACAGATGGCCTAAACCTTGATAATTCCTCTATTGCTTTTGTAAAATGGAAGGTCCCCAAAGACAAGGGAAGATTGTGACAGAAACAGTCTGAATGGCTGCAGGCAATTCATTTTGAAAACAATCCTTTCCGCATCCAATGAGCCACACCCCCCCCTCGCCCCCAATTTTGAATATGAATATGCCTCTCTATAGCTTGAAAACATAATGAAACATTTTACTTGCTTAATACATTTTTTGCCGGGGGTGGGGGTGAGGGGCGCAGAAGAAAAGAAGCTGAGAAAATAAGATATATAACTAAATAATGGTTTATTGGCAGTAGTTTCTGAGAATTGGTGTGCAACACAAAACAGCTAAAGGTGATTGCCAAAATGCAGCAGGGTGTTAACTCGATATGTGAAGCCCACAAGGCAGGCACCACGTCTCGATCAAGAGAAAAAACAATGACACTACACTGTTTGTAATTCTAGTGAAGGCCTGTTATTTGAAAATTGAAAAAAAAACTTTCGCAATATTTTTCGTCACCTCACCACACAGCACCTCCTCCGTGCACCCCCTCAATCCTCACCTCGGATGCCAAATCCAGAGGTCATGGACTTTTTCTTCACCAAAATTGACAGCATCCACTTGGCTGCTTCTTTTTTTTCCCCCCTCTCTGTTCGCCAGTCCTCCCCATATCTTTACATCCTCCGTATCTTCTGCCTCTGCCATTGTCTTCACACTCCTTTGGCCCCATTTCTCCCTCGTCCCTCATTATTATTATCATCCATGTGAAGTCCACCAACTGCTGCCTTGATATCCTCCCCACCCAGCTGCTGACAACCCAACTGTCCTTCCCTTGCCGGCAGACACAGTTATCCTGCTCATCCCAACCAGCACTCCCCCCCTCAAGACTGCCTCCTCAAAAAAAATTCTTAATCCTTCAAATTTCCCAAACTACCAGCCCGTCTCAAACTTGCCCTTCACATCCAACGTCCTGGCATGCGTTGTTGCCAATCATCCTTGCTCACATTTTTCCTTCCACTCCCAATCTGAGCACTTCCAGTCTGGTTTTCACCCGGCCCACAGCACTGAGACAGCCTCGACAATATCACAAATGACGCTCTCTCTGTGACCAAGTCTCTCGGCCTCCTCATCTCCCAGGATCTCGCCATAGTCTTCGACACAGATGATCATGCCATTCTCCTCGACTGTCTCTTATCCCTCATCCCCCTCAGTGGGACTGCCTTCTCCTGGTTTGAGTCCCACCTGACCTATTGCCATCATTTCTTCTTCACTATCAGTTTCTTCCCCCGCAGTTACCAGATCTATACCCCAAAGTTCTGTCCTGTTTCTTTTCCTCATTTACATACTCCCTCTCGATAATGTCATCCACAGACATGGGGTCAACTTCCACATGCAAGTGAATGACACACAAATCTACTTCT